AGCAATGAAGTTGTGTGATGTCGTTTCGGCGTTGGCGAATTGATTGGTTAATTTCGCATTACAGTTTTTAGTTTGTTTTCTTGATATTCCTCTGAAGGCGCTAACCATATGGGTGGAAGGTGTTTGCGGTTCCGAGAGCAACTCTACAATCGCGATCCGGGTTTAGATTTGGGGTACTCGTCAGGAGGCCCGTCGCGCGGCAAGAAGGCAGAGTCAGCGGACGAGTCGCAGCGCGTGATGTGCGATGTAGGACGTACAATGGTACATTCTATTTAACTTGACGCGAAATCACTACAGTACGCGCTGCGACTCGTCCGCTGACTCGGCCTTGTTGCCGCGCGACGGGCCTCCTGTCGGGTACCCTAAGATTTGAGAGAAAAACAGTCTAGTAGAAACTTCAATCTTGAGAACTTATAAACATTCCACCACACATTTTCGTTGATACAAGAAGAGGAAGGAAGTAATCGATGGAAAATAATGTTTTTTTAAACCATGCATTTCAGGAGGACAGCTTTTCCAAGCACTGTAATCGTAATTTTCAAGCTATCAGAAGACCAGAAAGGATCCAATTGGATACGTCGATGAAACCCATGTGAGAGAACAGTTGAAGGATAGAATGAGTGTCAGTCGAAGCCAAAGCTTCACATGTGAGTTCGTTTAGTTTTTTGTACTTAAGAAATCGGTATGCTTAGCGCCGTGATTGAGCACCACCGCAATTTATACTTACACAGATTCTTTTTCTGAGAGAGTGACTAGCTGGTACCCAGAGGGAAAACAAGGCCCAGAGGCAGACCCCCTACCAGAATGGGCAGACCCTCTCGTGAAGTTGTACGGCCAACTTGTGGCGCAGAAGAGCCCCGAAGCAGAGCGACCTGGAAGATGTGCGACCTGCGTTTCTGGCGTGCCCGGGACGAATAGCGGTCGAGAAGCAAGTAAGTAAGTAAGGTTCTCTCCCCACTGGAGGCATCTCAGATCGATCTTTATCTCAGTTATCCAGGAAAGCAAACTGTCCCACTTGTTCAGTGTTTATTAGCTTTTGGACAAACCTATCAATAGAGTTGCGTATTTTATTGTTAGTAAAATGCTAGGTTGTGCTGTGTAGTAACCCTTATACTTAAAAGGTTTGTATAGCGTTGTAGGTCGCTTTCGGTGGTTGCCGTTTTGCCGTTCTCTTCTGAAAGTTGCGCAGAGAACCGCGTTCGCCTGATGCTATTAAACCCACTGAGTTCGGCGAGTGCGACCGATGGACCATAAATTATTTTCCGATTTTGTCTCTGGGGATTCTATTCACTCGTGTTTAAGTCTCGTGGTCGCAGAGCCTGAAATAGCTTGGTCCCATCTAGGAGGCGAAGGCATTTCAAAAGAGCAAGCTCCATTTGTGACATACAGAGAAATGCACAAGCTTACTATACATTGGATGGCACTGGCAGCGCCGGACGTTTTGCGTTCAACACAGCACACTCAATGTGGCATCTCCGATAGGCTAGCTAAAATGCGTTTGCGAGTGTTTTTTTCCTTGTTCACATTTCCCTATTTGACATTCGAGGCCGCAGGAACGATATACAGTCAAGGGCAAAATTGCAGAAAAACCTTCTACTGGTCGCAAGTGTGCCCTCCCACCGCGGTTGAATGAAAGGTCACAAGCTTTCCCGCTTCCATCCAGGGGTTGAATGAAAGTCAGTCTAGGCTAGCCTCAGTCCTGTAATATAAGCCCATACGACGGCAAAGAGTGATATAAACCCAGATATTGCTGGAGAAATGTGACACTCCACGGTGATTTTTTGGAATTATTTTGCACAAGAATGCTGTATGCAATTGTACATAACGACTAAACATACTTGTTCAAGATTAAAGGAATCTTGCGCGGAAAATTCTTGCACTCTTTCCTACATGAATATGTCAGTTGTGATCACTGGAAATAGCACACAAAGTTTCACGCATGAAGATTCGGTTTCTGAAGAGAAACAAACGTACAAAAACTACACGTTATGGACCATCGAAGGACCAGGAGGCAGAGCCAGGCGAGGCATGGAAAGAAGACGGCGTTTGGCCGGCTACGTACCAGGCGACGCAATGAGAGAATCGGGTTAAAGCGCGCGATTTCGGAGAGTGGAGACAAATCGATCGATGGAATAGGATGGAGTAGAAGTGTAAGATGTGAATGCAACGAAGCAGAAGGCCAGAAAGAGCTTCTAGTGAATGCACTCCAAGAACCAAGTTTGAGCATCCCCGTCGCCAGCATTCGTGAAAGACGTCCGTGGGCAATTCGAACGCGTAGCAGCCTTTTCGAGTTTTCGAATTTCTAATCAAAACGAAAGCAATACTTCGTTCTTTTCACTATTATCGTGGATAATGAGTCTCAAGCCAGTGATTTATGGCTGAAATAGAATCATGATTTTTCCGCGCAAGATTCCTTTAAGCACAATTTGAGCCTCTGATATCACCACCAAAGAATGACTAGACGTGTCGCTTCGACACATTCACGGCCTATTGAGGTAGTAATTCCTTCTCATGGGAGAATAGATCAAGATCAGGGAGTTATGGTTAGTTGTGGCTCAGTACATACGCAAGTGCCTTCGGGGTAGGAAGTAATGGATGGCCGGTAAATAGCCGTAATTCATCGCCGATGAAGCGAAGCGTTTTAGCTGTGTATCTTTATTTCTCAAGGAATCGATCCTGGGTTTGTTTACGCGGCGTTCACCCATATACGAGCGGTTTTTAGTACCCATCGCCTCAAAAATAAGCTTCACATGCCCTTCATGCATGAACGATTAACATTCAAGGTTTTATTTTTACTAGACAGGTTCAAACCAAAGATCACTTCCCAGTTTTAAGATTCGGATTTGCTAGATGACTCCACAAGTTACATCATTTAAACATTCAACTATCAGTTAGTTCACTGGCATAAACTTTCGGGCGGTCCTCTTTTGGGAAGCAAAGTAAAGAAAATGGTCCGGAAATCTCCTTTCACCTTTGGCTCTATATCCAGGACGCCACATGCAAAACATCTTAATGGCTACCTCGTAATCTGTTCTCACGCGCTACCGACGGTATGCGCCATTATTCGACTCGGTTTTGATTACGTGGGCGACTGAACTTTTGCCCTTTTTGTTGTTTTCAAAAAAAAGAACACTGACTGAATATCATTTATCATGAAACTTTGGACTTTTCCAAGTGCAGAAAAACTCCCAAAGCTGCTTCAACCAATACTGCTTTGGACATTTATGTTATAATAACTTCTAGTGATTTTTTTTCTTTAAGGGGATAATTCTGAATGGGCACGAAGCTCCTTGCGATCATGACAAATGGGCACATTCAACATGCGCGAGTCGAGATGGTGATTAATCTCCGGCTGTACTGAAATATTGAGGATGAGACCCGGGGACATATTCGGATGGTCATTTGCAGCAAGCCTCGTAGCTCGTAGCGGATGTTTCCGCCAGTCTATCGACCCAATGATGTTCTCTTTGAAGAAATATTTATGCTATTTTGTATCAGCGTAGACAAATATATCCGCAATTGTTGGGATTGACGGGCATGTCTAGGGAAATGTATTCAATTTCATACATATGTTTCATTCAAACAAGTTCGTAGAGAAAATATGCAGGAACAACCAAATAATCACGGAATATATAGCCAAACAAAGGCGCTCATGGCTTCAGGGCGGGGGATATTTGAAAATGGGACACAGACTATAGGAGGTGACTCCGGTGGATTAAGCCAGGAGAGAGGTGAAGAGAGCGACTACGGAGGCCAAGAATTGCTTAACATCTTCCTCCAGGATCTCGCCCCATCTAAAACTTAGTCGGAAACGCTGCAAACGGTTCCGTACTTGAATGTCCCCCCCATAGACACCCTAAGCGCCAAAACAAATTGTTTTGTTCATCAACTGGAAACACGCAATAAAGAATAATCACCGAATCTATGTACATTTGAAGATCTGCGATCATCAGACTGGGCAAATGGTAAGAGGAAAAACCTGATGCTGCTTATAAGCGAAATTGCCTGTGGATATTCATGCAATCCTCGGAGAAAGGCTGATAAACAAGAGCTGTTAGAGAATGAATGCGGCTAGGATTCGTGAGGATCTTCAGATGGCCTGACCTAATCATTTGCCGCCTCGGTTGATAACTTTATGACACGTCCTTCCGTTACAATTTTCAGGTTAGGAGATGAGGAAAATGCGATGCCTTCGAAGGGGAAATTGGCGAGAATCATTCCACGATTCACCCTCTGTTTTCCGCTTGCCACCCGCTGAAAGTAAATAACTATAGCCTGTTCTCTATGCATAGAAAGCGTTGGACTGACCTCTACAAACGACTTCAACCCGTCGATGGTGATCATGTTCGGTGCGGCGATGGCAAAATCAGAAGCAGTCAGTTGGGAGAGATATCGTCGTCTATTGGGCTTGGATCAGGACCAAAGCCGTCAACAGAAAAGTGTTGTCTCGTTACAATGAATCGGAAAACCTCCGCACTGAGGTTTTCGTGAAAGCACTTGATGCGATACAAGTCGACTGCTTTGGGAGCGACCTCACGAAGGAATCGAAGAAGCATAGAAGACGTCACGTAGGCCATTGATGTCTGACTGATCGATATCGTGTGTACTCGACTGCCAGCGTGCAGCAGACACGACGAGATTGTCGACAGAAGATCGTCCGTCAAAGGAACCTGCAATTAAAGTACGAAAGTCCAGCAGATTCTCAAGCTGAGAGTCTTTTATGGAGCAGCTCACAATCAATGTCATCAGATTCAGATGCAGAGTTAAGATGAACTGAATATCAAGTATTAAAAAAGCTAGGCTGGAGTTTTGGAAGCTAATTTTCTGCACGTAAGTATCTCGTTGGCGTCCGTTAACAATCACCGTATATTGACGATAGCAGAGATGTGTGAAAGTGCAGAATCTGGGGAAATCAGGGCTTTCGTGTACCCCCAACTGTGTGGACGCAGATTAATGCGCTGACGTTATATTTACATTTAATATTGCAGTATTGGGCAAAGGGGCTAGGCAAGGTCAGATAGAAGGCAATGTCGCCTCCGGAGCTATCACAAGTACGGCGGCGATCATCCGGATTTAGTCCAGGAAGGAAGAGCTCGGGGATCTGAAACTTGGGTCAGGTAATCCTGAAGGTCTCCGTTCCGCCTTCGGCCGCTCAGGCAGCTTTGAGGAGTCTTGAACGCAGAGAAGCGATCCGCACCGCAGGGCCCCTTGATCGCCATGCCGGCTTTCTAGCCGATGGGAGAGTAGAATGCGTGCGCATCCCAGCGAGCGACTGACAGGCGTTGTTCTTTATCACGGTGATTGTGAACCTTTCTGAAGATGAATTCCTGTATTCACCGCTAAGCTTCTGCTTCCTCCATTCACTGAAGTGTACTCTACTTACCATGAAGAAATGTAGATGATGAACGTCAGCGTTTTTGAGCACTTTTGGAAGGCAGTTGTTAATGGATGATGAGAATACATCGGAAAGACTCGGTGGCCATTTGAGTTTCTTCGGTTTCTTAACCATCTAAAAATCGGATATTTAAAATATATATTCGGTAATTCCATGAACTGATTTTAGCGACCAAACCGCAAGTAAGACCGATGTCAGACTTTGCGATGAGCGATACGCGATAAGCGGCCAACGGATCGCTCTGTTGGATGGTACCGCAACGCGACCGCGGACGCTAGCAAATCGCTCAATTCGCAAAGCATGACATCGGCCTAATGGGGGTTTCAGAATAAATCGAGAGCCGGAAGGTGAAATTCAACTCACCAGCGATTGATCTATTTTCTCTTCGAAACATACTACGCGTAACCGAAATCCGCGACCAAATACCTGCAGCATAAAATCTGTTTTCTTCCACAAACTCCAAGAGAACAAGTGTTTGTAAAAAATACACCCGAGAAACTAAAGCTACTCATACGAGAAATGAAAAAATTCAAAAATAAAAAAAATGTAGCAATTCGGATTACTAAGGTATCAAAGAGTCTTCTCTTCATTAACCGCTCATTGCAACGAATAAGTTCGAACGTGTCCCGATTCAAAAATCGGCATTTGTCAAGGTCACTTTTGCTGAGAATCTGCAGAATTTTCACTCGTAACTCCAGTGGCAGTCTATTCCATGGAAAGTGTTCCTGAAACGACGTGACTTTAAGCTGTGACTGTAAGCCAAGAAATCAAAGAGACTTGTGGCCATGAACACTATTAGGCTGAGCAAACACAAACTTCACTCTGGATCTTTGGATATTCTCCAACTTTTCAACAAGGAGCAGCTGCAGCTCAGAGACTTGTCTAGGTAAAGGATATAGAGGTCACATACATATGGATATGGCCTATACAATGACTTGCGGGGCCAGCCGATGTACAAGTCAGTGTTTTTATCCTCCCAGACAAGTCTGGTACCAATTAACCGACCCCGGAGGGATGGAAGGCTTGGTTGGCCCGGGCGACTCACGACCCAGGATTTGATCCCCGGACCGCTCGCGTGGTAAGCGTGCCACTTGCCTACACCACTTCCGCCACTTGTCTAGACCACAAGTTTCTAGGACTTCATACTCATAGCATTTATAGGCGGGCTACGCCTCTGCAAAGGTTCTCATAAAGGAGAAAGGACAATGCAACAACCCACTTCTTTGAGTAAAAACAATTCGGTACGCAGATTAAGGGAGGAGGGAGTCGGGATGAACTGGTATCAACGCACTGGATCACCTTACTTGAGAGCCACACTTTCGTTGTGTTTTTACTCCCAGTTCAAGAAATTTTTGTCCATTGCCATCCCTCGCCAAGTGTTTACTCCTTCATCGAAAGACTATCAAAAATTCGAAAGTTCAGTGTTAGACCAACTTAAAGGTATGCCCCGGGATTAGGCTCACTAGTACCCATGAAATGCACGGTAAGGGCGCTAACGTACGAAATTGCAACCCTCGAAACCCCCCTCAACCACGCGGGTGTTTATACAAGGGAGGTCGTTCAGGGTGTGCCAAGCTTTTTCAAAATGGTTTCTTGCATGACATTGGGGCACATATGGGGACCACAGAAGCATGGTTCATTTTTCCTGAACGGCTCTCTGAATACCAGAAAAGGGGTCCCTAGTTCGATTCCTCGTGGTGACAAGTTTTTGCATTTCGTGTTGACGTTTCCAAATTCGCGCAAAATGGAGTTAGCATGAATAATTAGTACCAAATTCATGATTAGGAACGTCAGTAACCCTTACAAATAGACTTTGATTGAAAAACTGGTGAAAAAGGTGACTAGGGACCCCCTTTTCTGGTATTCAGAGGGCCGTTCAGGAAAAATTAACCATGGTTCTGTGGTTCCCGCATGTGCCCCTATATCATGCAAAAGACCGTTTTGAAAAAGCTTGGCACACCCTGAAAGACCTTCCTTGTAAGAATCAATCACGACGGTCGCTGCAACAAGCATTGATGTTTGCGACGTCGCGGCTTACAACACCTCTAAGGTAAGTAGAGGATCGAAAGATAGCAATTGATGCGGCTATGTTGAGAAAAAATTTGGCCGAAAATAATCCTTCCCAATGCCAAAGGTGGACTGCTGAAGAAGAATATGAAGGAAAGCCCTTTTCGGAACCTAATCGGCGATTTCTTTTGCTTTTTTTTCTTTTTCGAACTCCTTCCCACCCTCAACTGTGTAATTGAATGCTGTTACCACTTCTTTTATCCTGGGGCATGCTTTAGTGAATGGATATACTATTATATTTAGCTGCGAGAGCGAATACGGTGGATTCTGTGGGTCATTCTCCAAGAACGAAAAGATTACCTGTGGTCGAAGGTGAGAGATATCGCGTAAGCCATCGGACGCTCTGGAGATGAATGATTTTGGATTGTTGTCTGGAACGTGAATCCTGTCGACAAGAATACCCTCGACCGAGGCACACTTCGACCATCATCCCGAATCCCTGAGGCATTTGCTGTCGTGCTAGCCCTACTCATTGGATTGAAAGACTATCTGCAATGTTCACATCAGTGCATTTGTCCCTGTCAAACAAGTGCGCTAATGCATTAACCGCCGTGAAAAAATGGGAAATTTTCCTGGCGGGAAACAGCGATAGTTTGATGTGACCTTTAGTCAGTATGCTCATCGCGCCATGTAGGCTTTAATATGCTATATTTTGCTATTGAAAGGAGATAGCGGAAGGAGAAAGATGCTACCTTCTCGGGAAACCAAATAAGCAGCGGCTGACCAGAGAAAGTCTTTGTATGGGCTGGATGCGCACCCAAATTCTTGACGCATTTCAAGCATAGTGCATCCAGCAAGGGGTCAATAAGTGGCGACCATTCAGTCCTTAAGA